GGGGCTGTGGGCGGGACGGGCTTCTACGGCAGAGCAAGTCCTGCCCCAGCCTCTGGACGTGGGGCAGGGGAAGCTCCCGCAGCTCTCCGCTCCCCTGCAGGGCCGGCGCGAGGGGAAGGGCTGTTAGTACCGTAGCATGGGTCTGGGGGCCGGTTGGGACGCGTCCCCATCCAGCTGCCGCGGTGCCTTCCAGGTCACCTCCTTGTAGAGCACTCTGGCTTTCACCGCCATCCACAGCAGGGTGGAGAGGGAGGAGTAGTGCAAGATGATGCCGACCTGTGGGAGAGAGGCGATGGTCGGGAAGGGGGAGTGCTGCAGACATGGCTGCGTCCCCTCCGGTCACCATCCTGCAGGTCTCAGCAGAGCAAAACCTCACGGTGCTGGGCTGCCCAGACTTGCTGTTTGCAGAGCAGCCCCGGGCAGTGGCAGCACGCGGTGGCCGTCCCCTCTCCCCTGGTACCTACCGCTTGGCAGACGATCAGGTAGCCGGTGAGGGTGATGCCTCCCGCGAAGACAGCGGCCGTCATGGCGATGTGGAAGCAGAGGTTAAGCAGCATGTGCCAGCCCTTCCGCGGGATGAGAATGGTACTGGAAGAGAGGCACAGCGGGCGCCCATGAGGTCCTGCCTGGCCGTGAGCGGGACAGTTATTTGCAGCATGTGAGAGAGCCACAGCTCCTGCTGGCACAATCCTGCCTCCACTGCTCTGGAGGGATGCTCCGACACAGCCTGTCCCTGGCCAGGCAACGGAGCGCGGCTGATAAAGAAGCCATACACGTAAGAGCATGCATGTGGGCAAAGGACTTCTCGTAGCTGCTGGCAACGTGTCCATCACGGGGCTGTCAGCAGGGAGCCACCGGTGCTGGGACGCGGAGAAGGGGAGGGCAGGAGCCAGGCTGGAGGTAAGGGATGCTCTCCTGGTGCCCCTGGCTCTGGGTTGTTCCTGGCTTTGGCTGGGCAGCAGTCATGCTTCCAGCGCGAGATGTGGGCTGATAGCGCTGCCCAGCTTTGCTGGTGTTTGCTTCACTTATAGCAACAGGAATGGCTTGACCTTATATTTATCTAAATAAGTACTTGTTCAGTGCTAGATATAATAATTATTATTGGGTTCTTCCAACTGGGTAGTAGTTAGATGTGGACTGATAGTGTTGCTTGGCTTTAACTGTTAATACTGGTTTCACTTATCATAAATTGAATGGCTTGGCCTTATATGTATCTCATTAAGTACTGTTAAGTATTTGATATAATAATTACTGTCGGGTTCTTCCAAATAGGTGATAGCTAGATGTGGACTGATAGTGTTGCTTGACTTTTTGTCAGTGTTTGTTCCACTTATAGTAAGGGGAACAGTTTGGCCTTATATTTATCTCGTTAAGTACTTGTTAGATATAATACTTATTACTGGGTTCTTCCTGAGAAACAGATAATAGATTTAGCTAACAATGTTGCTTGACTTCGTTAGTGTTTGTTTCACTTATAGCAAGAGGAATGGTTTGGCCTCATATGTATCTCATTAAGTGCTTGTTAAGTGTTAGATATAATCGTTCTTGTTGGGTTCTTCCAACAGGGCAATAGATGTGGACCCAGAGCATTGCTTGGCTTCGCTAGTGTTTGTTTCACTTACAGCAGGAGGCTCTTACTTTGGCTTTATGTGCATCTCATTAAGTACTCGTTAAGTGTTAGATATAACTATTTCTGTGTTCTTTTTGCTTTAAAGAAGGCAGCTTCTTGGTAAGTGGCCTGCTGAGGCGGTCTCACTCTGACTCGTGCAGTGACCTGCATCCTGGTGGGGGGTGGAAGGGGGGCTCGGTGTTTACTGTGGGGCAGTGAGGGGCTCCTGCTGCACCTGGGGCTCTGAGCAGGACCCGCTGCCGAGCGTTGCTCGCTGCTGCCTTACAGGGGTGATGGAGGAGCGGTGGAGAGCCCTTGGCCCCGGAGGGGGCCCAGCACCAGCCTGGGATGAGGCTCTGGCAGCACGGCTGGCCCTGCTCCTGCCCTTTGCTAAGTGCCCTGTTCACTCCGTGCCGGTTGCTCATGGGGCACTGCTTTTGTAGAAGGAAGGCCCTCCCGCTCCTGTCCAGCCACCACTCTGCTGCCCACTGTCCCCTCGCCTGGGGGCTCGTTGGCCCCAGGTATGGGGGGACCCCATCCCTGAGCTGCTCACCATTTCTGACCCAACAAGGTCTCAGGGGGTCTTCACATCCACCCTCACAGTCTCACTCACCTCCTCCATGCCTTGCATTGCAGGACAAGACACAGCCAACCAGCCCAAGGCCCCCATCACCATAAAGGCAGGACACATCCAGCCATTGCCCCAAGATGGGCTCCTGGGGCAGCACTACTTGCCTGGCAGCACTTTCCTGAAGGGCTATCATCTCCTGAAAGCCTGTGCCCTTAAATGCCATGTCCTAGAGGGCCATCTCCTGAAAGGCCATCTCCTGAAGGGCCATCCCCTGGACGGTCACCCCTGCACACCTTCCTCCTGGCCGTTGGCAGTGCCTGGGGAGCTCCTCCAGCTGCCCACAGAGACGTCCACCCGAGCACAGCCCCTCCAACCGTCACCATGGCCAAGGCTGGCGCCAAGACACTCACCCATGGTTGACGATGTAGGTGATGATGGTGGTGAAGAGGCAGAGCAGCAGCACGGCCGTGCAGGTGTACATGGCCGGGTGCAGCACCTCCACGGCGCCTCGTGCCTCGCTGGGGAAACCGCTCAGCTCCTGCACAGCAGAGCACAGCCCGTCAGACCCCGCGCCACCCGTCCCCATCCCCCTGTCCC